CCCCTCTTCCCCTCTTCCCCTCTTCCCCTCTTCCCCTCTTCCCCTCTTCCCCTCTTCCTCTCTTCCTCTCTTCCTCTCTTCCTCTCTTCCTCTCTTCCTCTCTTCCTCTCTTCCTCTCTTCCTCTCTTCCTCTCTTCCTCTCTTCCTTCATCTCCATGATGACCGTTGTCATGATTATGATTGTCAATGGTTCGTGACAACTGTCAATGGTTGTCCTTGTGACGGTGCGTTAAGAATCATTCTGGGGACAAGCGGTAGGACTGAACCGTGCTCATGTCATGTGGAAGATGGAGAAAGCTGTAAGTTGCCCGCCATTCTTCCACCAGCCTCCCAGACCGTCAGGAAATTCGTGGAGCGCCTGTCGGACCAAATGCGGCTGGGTGGTGGTGGAGGCGCTCGGTACATTGAAAGATCTCAGACGTCTGGGGTTGCCATTGCTTGCCCTCTGCATACCCTGCAAGTCAGCTGCTTTTCCTCCATTTCAGTTTGCCTTTTTGCCTTCTGCCTTGGCTTTCAGGGTCGTGTTCTGCGGTGTCTCTGGATGAGCGGCGCCTGGACCCAGCGCACATGGACAGGTGCTGCCTGAGAGCTTTCCAGCCTCGTCCTGGTTTCTTGTTAGGGTTCTGAAGGGTTCGAGGGTAAGAGGGCTACAGGGTGACGAATGAACACGTGAGGCAGCCTGTGGAGGGTTAAGCGACTGTTACGTGCTTTAAGTGCTTTGCTATGTTGCATCAGTGACCTCACAGGCTCGCTGCTGAGCGCTCGGCAACGGACGGCGCGACAGATGGCTGACTGCGCCACGCGGCCTTTTCACAAAATGAGCGCCGCTGTCTTGCAGAATTGTGGCGCGTTCGAGCTCTGATGTACCTGCCTACTGCACAGCGCGTACAGCGCAAATCATTCATGTGCTTGTCATTAGTAGGCACTAGTCCTTTACCAACAGACCATTAGGAGAACATACAAGAGGAATAGTGCCACACCACAGTCCATGGTGCCCCCTCGAGCCGCTTTAGCGATTTTCAGAGTAAAGGCTTCTCCGAAGGCAAAGGTCGCGAGTAAACCCTCTCCACAGATTCCCTTGCAAGTTTTGGGCTCTTTAGCCATTCACATCAGCTTGGAAGGCTTGAAGGGCTATCTGGTACAAGCAGAGTACGTGGGGAGCTCCTGTGCTAACCCCCCTGCAAAAAACCTGAAGCAGGAACCTTGCAAACTTTCTCGAAGTTCAAGATAAATCAACTCAATTCTGCTGGCTTGCATCACAAGGGATGGATGTATGAATGCGCTCTGCATTCACGAACCACAGAGGGAAACCGTAAACAACCCTAAGCCCTAAAACCTCAACCCATCATGCAAAAGGGAAGAGGGGATTTCCGAAACCTTAACCGCCCTCACCGTGACCCTAAACCATGTGGAGAGGGAAATCCTAAACCTACACCTCAACCCTAACCCTGAACCCTAAGTGACTTGAACCCTGAACTCTTTACCCACCATGAACCACGAAGAGTAGAGTGAAAAGTCCAAAGCCTAAGCCCACAATCCTAAACCCACCATGAACCACAGACCATGAACCACAGGAAGCGAGTGGGGGGAGGGGTGAAGCCCCCCAAAACCCTCCATGCCACAAAAGGGGGAGGTGGGGATACTTGGGGGAGGGGTTCACTGATGCGGTCCTAAATCTCGAGTGCTGTCTCGCCAAGGGCTTCCTCTTTAAGTGCAATGCGCCCACGCCGAATCCGCCTGAGGCAAGGGCCCCGGCAGCTTCTTCATGTCTCTTCATGCTAGTGACTGAGTGACTGCGAGCGGTTGCTGCTCGCATCGATGCGGTCTGAGGCGGATAGGGAGGCGAACCCAGGCGAGATGACCGACGAGCAGGAAGCTGAGGCGGAAGAGAAAGAGGCCACGAGATGCGGAAACTTGTCAACGGTAAAAGCAAGATCGAAATTTTAAAAACTTGCCAAGTCTTCGATTGTTTGGTGTGTTTTTCTGCTCGGGCCTGATGCAGAGGAGGCCGAAATGGCCATGGAAGGCATGGAGCAGCTGTGGTGCCGGACTGAGCAGAATTGCAGTGCAGGACATGGCAGCACATGGCCGGAGAGCGACCAGTTTTAGCAGAACTTGGCAGACTTTTTGTAGCGTTCCTTCATACTCGGTTTTCTGACAGGGCGCTGGCAGTTCCAGCGCTGGCAGCTGCGCGGCTGCTGAGCACCGAGACCGGGAAGGCTCGCTGTGCATCTACAGGCTTAGTATGCCATAGTATGCATGATTCATGGATTCAGACGGTCAGGAACTCGGGTTCAGGTCCCAGCTAAACCATGGCGCCTAAAGCTGAGTTCTGTGCCAAGCTTGACTTTTCTTACAATTTCTGTGCATCTTCGCCGGCGCGCTTCTCAAAGATCCAACGTTGGAGTTTAGTGGTGTTCCCCCCCGCCGCCATCTGCACCCGCAGTATGGAGTTCGTGCTGAAAGCCATTCGCGCTAAGCAGTACCGCGGCGAGGACGGTCAAACATTTAAACTCAACGGCCAGATGCTCACCACATCCCTGAAGGTCGGGGGAGTTGTCTGCCTTTAAGTGCTTTTTTTGAAACTAAAGACAACTTAGACAGCAAGACCCAAGCAAGCCGGCCGTCAATCCTCGAAAGCTTTCCGTGGCGCCACCTCCACATCACCAAAAAACTCTGACGGTACTGTGCTCCACCTTGCACTATCCCACAGTCGAGTCCTGACTCCAAGTCCACTTCCAGCCGATCCATAAGGATACGTAAATATGAGGAGAATGCCCCCGTACCTAGCCCTAACCCCCAAGAATGCGCACGCCTCACCGGTGAATCCCTTAAGGGCGCCGTGATGCTGCCATCAGTTCCACCTTCGAAAGCCGGCCTGGGGCCCCAAGGGGGCCATGGGCCCCAAAGCTCAGAAAGGCCTCTTTGCCCTGGTGTGAGCGGCCCTAATCCCGAGATGGTGGCCGTCGACACCTTGGAGGCAGTTCGCCAACTTGCTCAGGATGGCATGTTCAACCCTGCCGTGCTGGTGTTTGCGAGCGACACGAACCCGGGTGGGAGCCGGAAGGGAGCAAACCTCGGCACCCAAGAGGAAGCGCTGTGTCGGCAGTCCACGTTGCGGCCGGCGCAGGAGCAGTTGACGTATCCCATTCCACTGATGGGCGTGGCGTACGTGCCCCAGGTCCAGGGACTGCTTCTTGGACCGGCAATTGGTGCGTGCTGGCGTTTGAACTTCAGTTTGGACAGTTGAGTTGCTGTTGACAATGAAGCTATTCTGGTTGATCTTGACCATCTTAACTTGAAATCAGAGGCTGCCCTCGGGCATCGTGGTGTTTGGTGCTATTTGCGCAGCGCTGCGCCAGTGCTTGGCCGGTGAGAGCCCAACAGGCAAAGAGATGCAGTTCCTGGAGGCCGGAGCAGAATCCACAAAATACCGTTCTCCAAGTGTTCTTGGAAGAGCTTTCGACCCTGCCTGCATCTTCATGCCTAGTCTAGGCATCTAAGATGTCCACGTAAGCTTGTGAGATCTTGTGAGATTCAACCAAAGACCACACTTCCTAGGTTTTGGGGCACAGCTCCTTGGGGTATCAGTGAATGTCCGAGCGCACCTTGCACGTTCTTGCGCGCCCTTGCAATCTCAGGCCAAGGTGGCCAGCGTGCTTGGGACCGCTGCGGCCTTTGGCCACAAGAGTCTGGTGTTGGGCGCCTGGGGCTGCGGTGCCTTCGGCAATCCACCGGAGGTGGTTTCGCGGGCCTTTGCCACGCAGCTTCGCTCGCCCGCCTTCGATGGCGCCTTCGAGCGTGTCATATTCGCGATCCCTGACGACGAGCTGCGCCAAGCGTTCGATTCAGCCTTTGCGGCAGCATCATAGTTCTGCTTCGTGATCCAGTGATGTCCGCTGCACTGCGCGGAGATGGCCCAAACGTACTCAAATGTGCTCAGCAACGACGTGAAGGTTGTGCTACAAAATATGCTGGTCGCACCTCTGCTGAAGCCACCGAGGTCCGAAGCGAAGACAACGGTAGGACGGATTGCCTTCCAGGTCCGGAGTCTTCCTCTCCTCCAGCCTCTCCGCCAGGACACCTCGACCATGACTCCGAGTAGAGCTTGACACTACTTCAGAAAGGTTTTCGCTGTTCTCCAACAAGGATGCAGTAGGGACTCGCAGCGCCACAATGTGGAGGAGCCCTTCCGGGCTCATTCCTTCAAGGCAGTCGCAAAAGAGCCCCAGGGAGTCAGGGAGCTGGAAGGAACTCCATGTTGAATGTGTCCTTTGGTGCAAGTCTTCACAGGAAGGGAATGGGTTCAAGCAGCACCAAGACTGCATGATGTCAGATGGACTAGATGATGGGACGTTGAGAGTTCCAGTTGACTCCCCGTATGACAGTGACACGCACTCCAAACGACTCACCGAGTGTTCGGCCTGATGTTGCCGCACACAGCAGTTGGCAACTCCAGCCATAAGTTCCCGCAGAACCGAATGGGTTGATGCTGCTAGCGCGTTCACAGGGTTAGGAGCTGACGCGTCGCACCAGCTGCGCCACAGCGCAGCGCATCGCAGCGCCATGCCCCGGCGCAGCGACTCGCGACGGCGCCGGAGCGACTCGAGGCGTTTTTGGATTTTTGGGGTTTGGATCTACTATGACTATGATGTACTCATATGTACTGAGTCTCGAGGATGCCATGGATGCCTTCCCATGATCTGTCACAGGGACTACCGGCGCTCCCCTCCTCGTCGCCGCTCACCCTCACCGAGGCCTCACTATGCAGCCTCGTTGGTATGTTTGGCATGTTCCACTTCTTCGGAATTCAGTGATCTCATGAGAAGCCAGGCATCTCATCATCGTTTTTTGTCTTGATCTTTGCGGGGGGTTTCTGAGTGTGCTCCGACAAGAAACGGAAAGCCTTCAGCAACATATTACCATTGTCCGGGATGGTTGTGTTGCGACCTGCTTATCCTCCTTGTCACAGGCTCATGTTTCTTTAGTTCTTGCTCGGGCTACGGAAGTTGTTTGTAATTCTCTCTTAGGAGGATGTGATGCTCCACGAACGAGAGGGTCATTTTGTCACGCACCTGGATGGCCAGCCTGCCAAGTCAAGTGCAGGCCATAGTGTGGGAGACCGTTTGCAACAGTTAATTCTAGTTAACTCATAAGTTCTTGTTGCCTCTCTTAGATATTAGAGGTCAAGCTTCCGGCAATGCGATCCCGCGAATGCGATAAGATGGCAACATGTTCAGGCGCCGCTCGCCGCAGCGCTCCCCCCACCGGTCGAGGTCCCGCTCGCCCAGGCTCCGCAGGATTCTTCTTCTGGCTTCAGCGACACGTGGTTCAGCTTATGCTGCAGAACCGTGGCTCTCCGAGCTGGCTCTCCCGAAAAAATGTAGTTCGTGAATGTCAGCAGCCTCTGCTGGGCCGTCCAAATTTCACGAGGAAGGAAGGTTGTGGCAGGGGTTCCGGAGGCAACTTCCCAACCGGGCGATCTTGAGCTGCAATCTAGATGAGCTGTGTGTTGCTGAAAGCAAGCAGTTCACTCTCCTCCTGCTTGGTGAAGTGTCAGCACGCTTGCGGTTGGGGACGAACCTTGCATGCAGCATGGAAACTGCCTGCCCGTGACGGGAGGTCACCGGCAAGAAAGTCCCCGGTGAAGGTTGCTTTGACCCCGGACGATCGTCGTCTGCCGTGTTAGGACTGTTAGGATTGCGGCAAAGAGGTTCTCACTGAGATTCTGTAGGGAGTGGAATTCTTTGACTCTCCGAGACACCGGCGCCCAGCGGGGGTGGCGGCGGTGGCGGCGAGATGCCAGGAGACATCGGCAAGGCGGAACTGACTAGATAGGAGAGCTCGCAGATGTCTTCTTGTGCTTCTTTTCCGTTCTTTCCGCGCTCCGAGGCAGAGGTGGTGGCTGGCAAGCCACGGCCTAGCACAGGGGAGCAGCGCCGGCCTCAGCTGTCACCCGTCAGAGTCCAAAGCTTAAAGAGAGGCGCGCACTTCCAAAGATGCTCCATCTGCGAGGACGTGGCGCGCAGAGATCATGATGCCTCAAGGCGGGAGGAAGATGGGTGGGTGTCGTCGGTGTCGTTCAGTCTCAAAGCTTCCACGGCTTTGACTTCTTTTTTACCGCTTCTTCTGAAGCCATCTGAAGCCTCGGGTGATCTCTGTCGGCATCCTGACAGTTGGCCTTGGGGACAAGAGCGGCGCCTACAACTACGGTGGCAAGGTGCCACCCACGCCAGAGAAGGATAACTAGGACGGGGCACAGCATCATACAGTATTAGCGCGGCACATGGGCATCACTCCACTTGTAATCATGTGCAACTCTTCCTTGAAGCACTAATAAGGTGCGAACCATGTGCATCCGTGGACCACACCGGGTGGACAAGCAACAGGCCACTGCACTTGGATAAGATGGCGTATACCGCACTTCGACATGTCAATCTCTCACTTTCGATGTAATGCACTGGCTTATACTGAATGGGCTTGCTCGGCTTAATCTGGTCCAAGGCGGAGGAAGACGCGATCAAGCTGGAGGACGCGGCCAAAGATGGCGACACGCGGAAGGTCAAGGCGGATGGATCGAGCGGACGGATCGAGATCGATTTGAGCGTATGCTCCAGTCAGATTTTGCCGTGCTCACAAGGCCATCGCGAACGACATGGTACGGGGCGGAGCAAAATGACATGCTGAAGCTCGTGCGATGCGAGCCTCCCGGCAGAATCTGATGAGAAGATAGGGACAGTTTCGCAGCTGACGAAACCGTGCCATTCATGAGTTCCTCGAAAGAGCTGATAAGAGGGATCTGAATGCATAGGAGGTGGCCAGCTTGACGCTCTAAATTCTGCTGACATCAACTCTGTCTGCGCAGCCTTTCCCAGGCACCGGGGCCGTTGCCTGACGAGGGCACCAGCTAGAGCATCGACAAAAATGGAGTGGCAGAGTAGAAAGGAGAGGGTTTGGAGAGGGTGTTTGCGACTTTTGTGGCTGCGCTTCCCAGCGTCTATGGCCACCAACATGTTGCACTCCTTCGAATCGACTCGCCTGTGGGTGTCCACCTCGGCACCTCGTCGCTCCTTGCAGGTTCTCCAGCTGAGACCGGCTCTGGGACGGCGGAGAAGGCTGGACAAGTTTGGTGGGTGCCGACTGCTGAACTGAAGTCTAAAGGCAGGCATTTTGTGTGCAGGCAGTCGGCATGCTCCGGCGGAGCCTTCTTGTGAGACTACCCTCAAAGCCTTCGCCAGCAAAAAGACGGAGTCGCCTGATTGATGCAGCGGCAGCCTTTCTCGCATCATTCCGCAAAGCGCGGCCCCGCAGCTTGGCTCTGGCTCTAGAAAAGACTTTGACTTGAAAGGGCCCGAAGTGCTCGGAGTTTCGCGAGTCTCCGATGGGCCGAAGGCCTTGCGATTGAGGGTCCATGTCAGGGTGCGTTATGGCTAAGGGAATGTGAGATAGCAGAGTATTGCAGGCAAACGCTGGGATCCTAAGGTCTGGACAGGCTCTGGGAAGCTGTTGGCTTGTCCTTTGTCAATCCGAAGGCAGGGACAACAGAGCGAGCAGAAAGCGGCAGCTGTGCGTCTGTGAATGGAGAGGTACGCGGAGTCCCGGGAGTTCGGGAAGGTCTTCGGCTTTCCTCTCTTGCAATGCTTCTGGGAGATTCTGGGCTTTCTGCAGAGCTGCTGCCCAATTGGTTTGAGGTGAGGACGCCAGTGGTGGAAGTACTGGCGTAGCTCATTGATCAGTTGACAGCAGCCTTTGCAGGCTCACTTATCTCTTAGAGCAGACGCAAAGTGTTTTAGCTTGCAACACTTGTGCTTTTCCAAGCTCTGCACGACTTGAAGCAGAGCCGCAGCTACACTCTGAAAAATGTGAAATGCGTGTACATACGTACCTCATGGCGCAATGAACTCTGCGTGGAAGAAGCTGCTCAATGTTTCCGACAAGAAGGGTAAGGCGGGGGGGCTTTGGTGTAGGTTCCCAAAGTTTGAGGACCAGAAGCGCCGCTTCTGCTTGCTACAGAGTAGTGCGCCCTGTCCAGACCCTGGATGAACATCGCGAGTGCCTGGAAAACCTCAAGACGGCGTTGCGCGACGCCGGGCTGCCACACTTGAGCTGTGTGTACTAGTAAATGCCTATGTTCATCCGCGTGCCTTGGATTGCCTGGCTGGTCCTTGAAACCCTTGTGCATAGGCGTCTCGTAAGTTAAGAAGTTCTGTTCACATCTGTTCTGGCTGTTTCCCAAACATGTCGTCCCTTTCTTTCTTCGTAGCTTTGCAAATGTTGAATTTTGGTAAGTCTACGTCCACGCGTTTTTCCTCAGAGGCAGTAGCGTTTTGCTTTCGAGAGCTTCTGCGCGTGAGAACTGGCACGGTGCGCACGGAGAAAGCAAATCTGGCTTGAATGCGGTGCCGTCTTGTCTGCACGTGCATTGCATGTAAACTTGTTTTGCGCTTGGGGTTTGGTTTGCTTCGTGGTACGGTTAAATGTTGTTAGCAACGCAGAAGGATTTCAAGAAGGCGGCTGGTGTCCCTTCTGATCTCGAGTGGTCGCAGAGCAACTCTGTCTCTAGCCCCAACCCACAAGAGAGAGTGTGATCGCACTTCTGGAAGTGTTGCGCATCGAAACAAAGAGACCTGGGATGGAGATTTGGCTGAGTTGGCTGCAAAAACAAAGCAACGGCCCCAGTTGAGTTCTGCGCCAGGCCCTCATCTTCTTGAAGCAGCGCAAAGGCGCAAGTGACTGCACTTTGCCAGCTCTCTTCGTTTTTGTTTTTTTTTTTGAAGAATGGAAGTTGTACTTGTCTGATCTGGCTTGTATAACCCCTCAGACCTCAGAGTTAAGTATCTGGCTCTTTAGCTTCGGAACGGTTCAATGGAGCGAGTTCAGGTTCAAGAGTCAAGACTGTGGTTGCAATTCTGAGTCAAGCCAAGCTCGTCTGGACAGGCGCAATGTTCGCAGTTCTTCAATTCTGGAACCGGAAGTACTTTGAAGTACTTGTTAGTGTGGAGTGCATTGATCTGCCAGTATGCCCACACACTGATGATCCAAAGTGCTTCTTTCAATCACACGAGGGTTGGCGGGTTATGGGGCGAAGCCCGGCCAGGAGAGGATGCGGAAGATACGCAAAGGGCTCTTGAACTCATGGAGCGGACCCTGCAGGACGCTCTCACAGTTGCACCGTGAGTTCGGGAGAGGAAGCTTAAGGCATCCTGAGGCTGTTTTTTTTCTTTTTGGGGCATGTGACCACAGGGGGAGACCTGCTACTTTGGCAGCCAGTTCTTCATCTTCAAGCAGGTGCTCTGAAAGCTCTCGCTGGTTCGCCTGTGGTTTTTTTGTGTGTGTGTGTGTGTGTGTGTGTGTGTGTGTGTGAGAGAGCATCCTCGTGGGTCATGGAGTGATAGGGTTCAAGTCCAGGATATTTACACGAGTCAGCCCAGCAGAGGGCAGCTTTGGGGGTCCAGCAGGCTTTTCCTGGTTCTTGCTTTCGCTCTTTCCTGCTGCTTCAACTGCATTACTAAACGATGAAAGTACTTCAAGGGGTTCTACTTCCGTGAAATTTGCCCGAAAGGGCGGCGGATGTAGGAAAGACTTGTGAAACAGCACCTACACAAGGGCTGCGGGCCCCCAAGCAGACTCTGGGTTCAGCATCTTGCGAGGCTTCGGTGGCGTTGCTGATGGTCTTGAAGCTCCTGCCGGAGCCCCCGGCAGCCCTGGACCAGCTGCCGAGGAGCGGTGCTGTCAGCCATCTTGAGGCATCTACAGGCTTAGTCGCAACAGAATGGGTCCAGACAAAAGTTGCCATGCAGTTCCATGCAGTTGCCTGGCATCGGGAGGCTGGTGATGCAGCTGGTGGTGCAGCTGCATCGGCAGGCGTCGCGAGCTCTTTGTGGAGCCCGGCACGCCGGGAACGACGAGCAATGCACCGTGGCACTGCAGGATTTCGCCGTGCTTAGCGCCTTTGCCCGCGACGTCGCGACAGCCCAGGGCTCAATTCGATGCAGTTTTTGTCACGTCACGTTGTGATGGTTCTGCGTTGCAAGGGGCTTTTTGCAACTTGCAAAATAGGTCCGACCGCAAGTAAAGAGCATCCTTTCTGCGAAGCTTAAGCCATATTTGCTTCCATATTGGTGCTTCAACCCTCTAGTTCTGCTCTGTTTGGAGTTTCTGTTGGGGAAGGGTGATAGCAGCTCTCCTGAGTACTTCGAGTCTTTGATAAAGGCCCTCCGCGCTCTCGCAAGCCGCCCTTTCCGGCTGACGGCCTTCGTGCTCCTGTCGCGGCTCTGCAAGGAGAGGGAGCCCCCGATGGGCCCCCGATGGGCCCCTATGGGCCGCCTATGAGCCCCTGCTGGGGGGGAGGGGTTTGAATGCGCTCTTGACAAATGCCGGGAGGGGGCATATAGTCCTTGAAGCAGAGGACGATTGGACATTTTCGAGGCTTGGGGGGGGGGGGGGGGACACTGCCGTGCGGAGGACCGTTTGCCGGATGCAGAGGTTGGCGGGCGGACTGAGCTGGGTGTGTTTGTTGGCAGTGGTCACTAGCTCCCGCTGCCAAATTCCGGATGCCTGCGCCAGGCAGGAGCGCCGGCCACAGGTGGGCACCGGGCTCGCACGACAAACCTAACGCAGTCCGAAGATGGTTTGCAGGTCCATGGCAAGGGCTACGTTGATCCAGCATTGAACGAGCGGCTCTTGCGTCAGGCCCTTCGCACAATGCAGCCCCGACTACGCAAGGCTTCTCATTGGAACTCACAGACGGACGCCTCCCTGCCGAATTTGGATGCTTGGGGAACTCGCATGCTTGAAGACTTGAAGAGAATCACCAAAAACAACAGGTTGTAAGTAGCCTCCGAGAACGACGGGACCAGAGGCAACCTATGGGCCCTAGATATGACATCTCGGCATCTACCCTTTAACGTGCCCCAAGCGCCTCCTGAGGCTTTGCCTCAACAGCTGTTCGGCTCTGCCGACTGGCCCGGGATGCAGGGACCGAGCGCGAGGTGCACCACCGTCGGCGTCATGGTACGGGGAAGTGCGGACGTCGGATGTCGCGCCCTCTGGGCCGAGTGCGTGCACTAGCTCTATTCTCAGAGGTGTCTCCGCTTTATTGCTTTATCCCTTAGCATCACCACGGACTGCGACTGGGGATGCCCCCTTGCACATCCCACGGCACCTCTGCGCCAGGGCCTCCAAACCTCTCTGATCCGCTTGATGGCGGCGGTGTCTCGCTGGGCTGTCGAGGGAACCATGGAGGCCTCAGGAAGTGCGTGCTGCGTGCGTGCAACAGTGAAAGCACGTGTAAAAGTCTGTGTGTGTGTGAGAGAGAGAGAGAGAGAGAGAGAGAGAGAGCGTGATTGAGAGTGTGTGAGTGTGCGAGAGTGTGAGAGTGCGAGAGTGTGAGAGTGTGTGTGAGTGTGTGGGTGTGTGTGTGTGTGTGTGTGTGCGTTTTTTTCTTTCGCGTTGCAGGTCGCGGAGGCCGAAAAAGTGCTTCGTGAAAGCCTCGAGGCTTTCGGGGCCCTCCAGGAGTTGCACCGTGGTGCCCGGGCCTCGACGACAAAGACAAGTGACCCCCGTTGGACAAATTGCTCACAAGCATCTACAGCAATTTTGATAGAATTTGCAGTGCAAACGACGTGCACTAGAGACAATACCGAACACTCCCCAAGTCGGATTGGTTTGGACGGCCAGTGGTACTGGGAGCATTGGAGAAGTAGGCGAAGGAAACGCTTATGGTACCTCGGTAGGACTTGTCCCGTGAGTCCGGTGCCGGTGCTGCCTGCAAAACTCTGAAGTCCTCAGCCCGAACCTGGGCTGCCAACTCTGCGCCCTGCGCGAGGTCCCTCCGCTCCAAATCCAGGCGGAGCTCGGTGCGGGTTTGCCCACGCTGCTGCGCTTCGTTGCAAGGCCTAGTTCAACTTGGCATCACCTATGGAGCTCAAAAGCTCTGGTGCTGTTAGAGCTGGCAGAAGACTCGCCTTCCAACTTCGAGAGGCTCGGCACTTCGCTTGGCCCCTCGCTTGCGAAGCTTCTGGAGTTCACCTTGGCAGAGCACAGTGCTGCATTGCTGCTCCCGCACGGGGCCTTAGCTTCCGAGTGCAATGATGGACAATGCCCATAAACGCAGGGTGAGGGTGAGGTTCTGACAGTATGTCCCTGAGGCGACTGCCTTCGCTTACGGCATGTCTTTTGCTGGCCACGGAGAAGGAGGGGCTTGCAAATAGCCAGCCCGCGCGCGCGAATCTGCACACTGCGCTTAAAGAAGGGTTAACCAAGGAAACGCTTGCACCTCCGCGCGCGGGGGCTGGCCCAATGTGGGGATGTAGAGTGCGCATTCATGGGCTCGGGGGGGGCTTGAGGAGTCGGAGGTTTGAAGGGGTGTCCCAAGGGTTTCGGGGAAGGGTGAGGCGAATTAAGATGGCTTTTTATGTGGGCTCCCATCAACAGAGTTTCCTCCGTAATCGCTGTGCATCTCCCTTTGATTTTGAGCACTTCGGAGAGGGCTCTTGGAGCCTTCGGCCTTTGGCCTGCGCCGTCCGCCGCTTTGGCGAGGCACCCATGCGCTGTCCGCCAGGCAGGAAAAGCAAGAATTTCGGTGTTTCGGAGTCGCGGAGAACTGGCTTCCAGATGGATGACAGCTAGTAGCTAAGTGGCAACTCTACATCGGTCGAGGCTTCGATGCGGCTTGGCTTCAGGCAGCTCTGGCGGAAGCTTGTGCCGCAATCGGCCAACGAAGCTGCTTAACGGTTTAACGCTGCCATGAGGTCCATAGGTCGTCAGTTTTTTTAATGTCCCAGGATGCAGATGCATGCGGCCCCCTTGCCGAGTTGGTGCCCGCCTTGTGCGGGGCCAGTGTGGTTGGGCACTCGGTGCAGTGGCCAAGGGTTGAAGTCCCCACATCCCACCCGGAAATCCCAGAAAAGGAGAGTGAGAAACGAAAGCCGAAAAGCTGCTTCTTACTTTGGCTACTCGTACGTCTGCGTCGGATCGGCCGTCAAGCGCACGTGCGAAGCTCCTGGCCTTTCACCCCTAAGCTTGAAACGCAACCACATGCCTTCCCTTTGGGTTTGGAGAGAGATGCCCCCAGAGCTCCGCTCATGTTTTGAACAGTTCCCCTTTCCCAGATCTCTTCCTCCGGCACCTTGGCATCCGCGCTGAAGGCATTTGGGAGGGGCGGAGAGGTAAATTGACTATGTAGACTTCAGCTCATCACGACTTGCCTTTTTTCTGTGGTCATCTTTGCTCAAGGCCATTTTTTCTCGTTCAGTGACATCTGTATCCATATCCAAAAGAATCGAAGTGGACATGTTTTTTTTGCCCATTTGGTCTGGCTCAGAGGCCGGTCCGTGGAGTGCCACATCGCCGTTTGCGGAGGCGTTTCGAGGGCCCGAAAGGGATGGAAGGATGGGGGGAAAGGGAAAAAGGGCTGGAGAGAGGGCTCCCTTTTGCTTCCAGGCTCTCTTGGCCAAAGCTGAGCTGCAGGCCTGGAATGCAATTTTCACGTCGGATTCTGGGGAGTTGGCGGATCGTGTCCCTCTTAGGAGAAGCCCCGTATCCTGGCAGAGCTGCTCTCGAAGAACGCAGGACCGGGCTTATGGGCCGATGCAGCAAACATTAAGCAAACGCCTGTCTCACGAGTGTCATGGCTTTGGCTCAGCCTTGCGAAGCTTTCGCGCCCCTATTGCAGCGGTGAAAGCCTGGGAAGTACCACGCAGTTGGCGATGACGCTTCCGGTGATCGAGTCTTAGGGGTGTGGACGGCATCGCAGTGGATCTTGTACCCATGCTAGGCTTTTGAAGGCCGGATCAAGTCACATCGGCCGGAAATGGCTGCGGCTTTGTGAGCGTAAGAATCGACGTACAGGTGACAGCCCCCCTGCGATTTTGGCATTGTAAGGCAAGGGACTGGGCTCAACTTGGGCTCCCAAGTCTTTGAAGCTACGTATGGATCCTACACAACTTCTCAGTCCAACGTCAGATCAGTGGAGTCAGTCGGGCTACAGCGACATTGTGAGCGCATGAGTGCGAGTATGGCTTGAGTTCTTTAGATTCCTTTAGATGGTCTGACATCCCTGGTCGCAGTCTCCAACTCTACAGTACCCCGCAAGAACACCAGCCGACCCGCATTCTTCCATATCAGAGAATCTCTGGGCTCTGAGTCCCGTCGCTGGCAGCGCGGGCAGAGCGCGGGGAAGTCGAGCTAATGTATGAAGAGCGAGGTGTTTTGAAGCGTCATGCTTTATGTTCATGCTACTCGTAGCGCAGTGCCAAGACCGCCAAGATGGAAGGCCGCAAGCCCTGCCAGGGAATGGGCCTGCCATCTTGCAAAGGGTGTGCGAAAATGTGCATGAAACCCAAAGGGAGAGAGCTCTGCAGAACTTTGGACCCACAGATGCAACACGGTGCCAGCAGTGTGCCAGCAGTTGATGAACTTGCACCTACTTGCACCTTCATGACCTTCATGGTGCTCTGAACCGCGTACGCGAGTGAACCGTTGAACCGCATCGTACAGCACGGTGGTTCCAAGTTTTGAAGGTGTGGCAAATCCGCAGAGCTGGCGCTTGCTGCTCCGGGCGCTCGACACCTTCGGCGAGGCACAAGGGAAGGCTTTGACTCTGAGAGCAGCGGAGACCGCCGATTTCACTACCAGGTGGAGCTACTGCAGGAGTTGCTGACATCGCCAGGCTCCGGAGTCCAAGTTTGGTTTCAGACCAGGGGGAAGGAGCTCCGGCCAAACGAGGCAGACTCATGAAGAGTTTGGTCACCATTTGTTCTGTGCAGGGTACGGGGCTCCGGCACAGCGCGCAGCGCTGTGGCTGGCCCTGGCCAGGGCTCTGCGTCGCCGCCCGGCCCCTGGCAACAGCAAAGGCAAAGGGCTTGGCTTGCCATGGTGGATCCTGGTTGCTTGTAAATCACTTCCGACTCCTGTCAACGCACCGCGTCATGCACCGCACGTCCATGCAAGCGGCCCTAAGCTTTCACCGCACAGAACCCAGCTCTCCTGTCACCAACAAAGGCCTCGAACACCGCCCTGAGCCTCAAAGCGAGGCCGGGTTCTGGGCTGGCTTTATGCTTCACGATGTTTCGAGGCAAACCATCCGGGGCTAGGCGAAAGCACCGACTTTGCACATGATCATGACACAAACATTCAAAAACTGCTAAGCCTGCTTCCGCGCTCGGCAGCCAAGACGGACTGTTTGCACAGAACTGGTCTAAGTCCACTTGAAGTGTTCAACTCGTGGCCCGCAGGCTGCCTGGCAACGGTATCTGTGCAAGCTTCTCAGGGTAATGGACGAAGAGGCCTCGTCTTGTGCCTCCACGCAGTGGGTGCCCTGGCAAGGAGATGTAAGGACGATGGCTCGTAGTTACGTAGGATTGCGGTATGCCTAGCACGGCGTGGCATCAGGCTTGAGGCGGCTTCAGCTTGAGTAGGCTTGGTCCTCGCTTAGTCCGCCCATCCCCTCTTTTTTTGGGATCAGCTGAGGCCTCACTCGCCTCTGCGCTGACTGCCCTGATCGCGGCCAGCTTGCTGGCAGGTGAAGAAGGTGGTGAAGAGGTGGACCGGGCCCAGCAAAAAAAGCTGTTGTGCTGAGTCCTGCAGCGGTGTAACAGTGGCATACATTGGCGGCACATGGATCCAGCCTCTTAACAACGTGTCCTGCTCAGAGGCCGTGCCAATGCTGGATCCGGCGTCTTGACTCGGAAGCGAATGGAGATTCGATCTGTGCTCCCTCCATGTTGTCTCAGGTGGGCTCTAACACTGCTCTCACGTGTGCTTTATCATCTGCTATCGCATGTCAGAGTGGGTCTCTAAGTGGGAGCTGCTAGCCTGGTTCCTCCGAGGTGTTCCAGACCAGAACCCGAGTCAAGCTCCCAAGCTGCACTGGGAAGCCCGTGTGCCATCCTAACTGTCATTAGCCAATTTAACCATCCCTCCAACTCCTCCAAATTCTCCTGGCACAAACCTCAGCTTCCAACCTTTGGGCACTTTGGGCACTCGGTTCCGGGGTCACAACGTGGTTCCTGTTTTTGGTGAGGGAGGGTGTGCCGTGTGAAAATGGAGGCTGCGCCCGGTCGCGCCATGTCGCCCAGGTCCCTGGCAGCGCTGCCATCGCCCTTGGAATCGGCTCCGAACTTCCTTCGCCGCCGCCCCGTCTTTGGCCGCACGTCACGAACGCGCCGTGCGGTCCAGGTGGGGCACTGCGCAATCGCGGCTGTTGCCTCCGTGCTCGATTTCCTGGATGTAATCCTGACAGGTTCCGAGAGAAGTCCTGTTGTGTGCGTTCTGCAACACCGCTGAGCCTGCACAGTCCAGCTCCAGAGACTTGGCACCAAGTACTGCTCTCGACGCTCGGGACATTCCACCATACCCCACCCCATCAGTTCAAGAGCCCGCCTGCACAAGAGGTGCCTTGCCTGAGAACTTGGATCAGCTCAGGCACAGCGACTTCGACTTCTGCCCGCTGCCCGCGCTGCAGCACCGAAATGCCGCTTGGAGACAGCATCTTCGAACCTTCCGAGCTCGTTGAGGCGGGACCTGCCGGACTGTGCATTCTCCTGTGAGGCTTTCTGCTGACCTCACTCTGCCGGACATGGAGACCCTGCGCCGCCCTGCCACCACGCGGCGCCGTTGGCTGCGACGTCCCCCAGGTGCCCACCCCCCCCCCCCCCCCGCAGTGTTCAGTTTGCCGAGTGTCGGAATCTTTTGCATTCCTTACCCTGATGTTCCTTGTTCTTCGTCCTGGCTTCTACTCTTGTCATCCCGTCATGTCCCGTCGAACCTCGTGCAGGCATCTGGGGAGAGGAACCAGTCCTAGCTTTCCCCTTGCCTTTCTGACTTTTTTTCTAACTTTTCTTGCTGGAGGATCGAGCCTGAATCGCTTGCCAGGTTGGCAACGAATGCAACAATGGTCCGCGCGATTTCGCAACGCTGTCCATGCTGTTCGCTTTTGTTATAGAACGCCCGCGGCCCTCGACCACAAGGCAAGTGCGCGCGCACGATGCGCACGCATGACACTCACTCCAATCAGCCCCAACTCATGTTGGGTGCATCCGGCCCATGCCGAAAGAGCGCCGAGTGATGAAGTTCTCCTCCGGGCGTGACAGTTGTGCCACGTTGTGCCGCTGCGCAGGATTTCATGACCGTGATCTTGAAGCTGCGATTCTTGGCTACATGATGCAAAGCTTTGGAGCTTCACATGCCGTAGGGTTTCGATTCTGCCCTGACTCCTTCAGGGTCGCGGCTCGCCTCTACTGCCCCCGCCACCGCGCTGGGCTTGCTGGACAATCTCCGTCTTAGAGCCACAACCAGAACCTACTGTGGTGCTGTTTCGTGTGGTAATGAGACCGTCAGCCTCAAGGTCAGGACATGTCAGGACATAGCGAGGGACGACGAGTGCCTTCAATACGGCTGTCGAGGAGCCAGGTGACTCCCAGCCCTCACCTGGCTTTCCGAACCCGCAGGTCGGAAGGGATGTTGTTTTGCAAATCTAGGGGCGCTTAAGCTCACAGGAGAGTCACAGGGAGGAAAATTGTGTCAACCTTGGGCAAGGTGTCGTGCCTGCTGAACACAGCGGTTCTCTGTCTCTGCCTGGGCTGCTCCAAGTTGAGCCTCTCTACTCTGGCCAAGGCCGGCACTCGGATCGCAGAAGCGGCAGAAGCGGTTCCTGAATGAGTGTCCCAGTGAGTGCCTCAATGAGCGCCTAGCGCAGGACCTTTCTACTTTCTTCCCCCCAGAGCTGGACACCTCGAGGACGGCGACTCTTGAAGATGTGCTGATGTGCACAGCTTCTGTGAAATCGTCCCTATTCAGGATTCCAGCCAATTGGGAGGCCGCGTTCTCAGAAAGAACGCTGGGAAAGCTGGGAAGGGATACGCTTCATGCCACGCCGCTGTTATGCGTATCTCAGAGCATACCAATGTGTAACAAAGTGATATAAAGTGTACCAAGGCCCCGGAGGTCCTCGGTGCTCTGCTGCGCTGCCCGGACTTCTGTGCTGTCTTGGCTGGCGAGGCCGGAGCCACATCCCGGAATCTCAGAATCTTGTTTTGAATGATTTGAGTGATTTGAGATGATTTGAGCTTCGGTCTTTGAACAGTTAAACACTGCCGAAGTTCTGGAGTTACTAGAGCACTTGTGAAACAGACCAGACCTCCTCCTGTCTTGCGAGTCTGCGGCGCCATTAGCCAAGCGACGCCGTGGCGAGGTGCGGACAGTGACGAGCCTCATGTGCCCCCCAACGTTGCCCAGCCTTCTGCTCCCAGGTGCAGGCTTCGCATCCCCTTCAGGCACGGTTGCAACACAATGCAACACATCTCAGAGACCAATTTCAGAATTTCAGGGTTCAGCATGTGCCGCTTTGTGCGGCCTACGTTGTTTCCTTTGTTTTGCTGCTGGAGAGAGGTGATGGCGCTCAGCTCGCAGCAGCTGGCTCATATGGTGGACACGATGCGCCTCGCAGGAAAACTCGGGGGGGGGGGGGGGGGGATTGGGCTGTGGGCACCGCTTGCCTTAGGTCTTATGACAGAGTAAGGGGCAGTTGTTTGGCTGTTTTCTTGGCTTGCTTGATTTTGAGGGCGGGGGGGGGGGGGGGGGGGGGGGGGGAAATGGGGCTTAACGATCACACAGAGAGAGTCGTCACCGGCTCCCTAGTTCAAGTAAGTTTTCTGCGTAAGATCATTGACGTGGCTTCGGGGCCCAAGTCCATGCAGTTGCGAGTGTTCACAGTCACAAGGTCCAAGCTCAACATCTTGGCTGGCTCCAGCACTAACAAGGCCCAAGGTGGTGAATCTTGGCGTGCGATAGTGGCGGTTGAGTGGCTTTCAGTTTGGATGCTGCGGGTTTGACACAGTCCAGCTTCACAATCGAGGCGGCTCTGAGTCCCAGCTCAAGCTTGCAAAGGCTCCTCAGCATCTGCAGCTTGGTCGGAATATGCAGAGCTGGATCTGTTACTTTTTGGACCTCGAAACACATGGCAGGTAATTGCTCACCAAAATGCAGATGCAGAGTCGCACGTAGTCCTGCGCCAAGGCATGCTGGCTCCGCTCTGCCGGAGACTCAGAAAGACCACCATCTGCAGACCTCAGCCGTCTTGGCTTCACATGGCTTCATATTCCGAAGGTGCCGATGAACTCTTCCTGGCCGATCGCAACCTCTACCTCCGGTTTCTGGAGCGCTTCTCGAGGAATGCTTCCCGGCTGAAAACAAGTGGAAGATCTGCGGAGACGTACGGAGATTGCAGTTATTCAAGCGGGTTTCACCCCAACTTACGAGTGAGGTCCGGACCGGTAGCCTCTGTCAGCTGCTTCTGGGCGCCTTGCCTGCTACGTCGACGTGTGAGTCCGCGTGAAGCTGTTTTGCTGTCCGCCCTGGTCCTAGTCGAGGTACACTGAAACCAAAGATGAGACTCCTGCTGCCCAAGATTCTGCCCCTCATGGTTCTCAACGAGAATGCAGATAGCCTGCGGTCCTTGTGTAAGCTGCTGGATGAGGACACCTGACATGCTTTGTTGAGCTTTGTGCCATGTCTAGAATCCTGAATCCATCGGCTGTGGAAGTTAGAAGGCTACTAGGAGAGGTCTGTACGATTTCGCTCTTCTCGTTGATGATGGGCTTTTTACAAACGGCACCCCCCTACAGAGCTTTTTTGCTCGGTCGTTTGTAATGTTTCCTCGGGAGGAGTCTTTGCCATCCATCCTTACACCGAACCTCCCCTTCGTCCTGAGCGAGATGGCTTCGCTTCCGGCAGCGCGGTGAGCAACGTGAGCATGCGATGAATACACACGACGTCATGCTCATGCAGCAATCGCAAAAAAAAGGAGTCGCCGAGTCACCTAGGTGAACCGTGCAGTGGGCTCCCTGTCCTTCCTGATCAGTGTCTACAAAGGGTCTGCCTCGTCCTGAGCCTCTAAGCCTTGAAACCTTGAAGCCTTGAAGTTGTGTTGCTGCGCTACCGTACGGCTGCAGTGATAGAAGTACAGGGCTGCAGGTTGCAGCCGTTTGGATCGTTTCAGCTTCATAGCCGCAGGTGAGCGCCGACAGCCTTAGTGCAGCCTTCTTGGGCAAGGTGCTGGTTCTGATCCTCTGGGAGTCCGCGAGGCATCACTACAGGGCACTGCAAGCGCGTGGTTTGCCGCATCACGCCTCCGTTCACCCTGCAGACTGCCCCGCGCCGAGCGCCTCAGCCGCACGCTGGCCACACTGACCCGCCTTGCGCAGGCGCTGGCCAGCCCTATACCGGGCAACGGGAAAAGCATGGGAATCACATGGGAAAACCATGTCACCGTGGCCTGAACGTTGTGTTGCTAGAGACGCGCCCACTGGATTGCGTCGTTTTTTCCCCTGCTTCTCCGTTCCCACTGTCCGAAGGCGCTGCAGGCCCGCAGCGGGCGACCCGCGGAGGCATCGGAGCTTGAGTTGATCACTATAAGTTTTTCTGAAGGTCTTATATCATGATGAGATTGGAGATTGCCGGAAAGATGATGGATCTAATTGCAAAAGGTAGAGTAGAGTGAGGCAGCTTTCGAAGTTCGCAAGGAGAAGAAGCGCCCTGATCCTTCCATCGAGCGGAGCACAAAGAAGCGGCGGGCGGGGGAGAAGGACGGGGCTGGCCCAAGGCATTCTTGGCTCTGTGCTCGGATGCCCGGATGTGCCCGGATGTGCCCGGTGCACAGGAGGCAAAGGTCATTGACGTGGCAGGTGATGGAGGCGGGAGTGTGCCCCGATGCAGATCCTCGCATTGGGATTTAAGTGTTGCCGCGCCGCGCTCTCATCGGCATCGCCTCTGAGGAGTACCTCCGGAGGTGCTGCAGATCCTGGCAGCTCGGCTCTTCCTTGTGCACTACACAGTGCAAGGCCCCTGCAAGGCCCCTGGCAAGGCCCCTGGCAAGCCCCTGGCAAGGCCCCTGGCAAGGCCCCTGGCAAGGCCCCTGCAAGGCCCCTGCAAGGCTATGCAAAGCTGATGGCAAAATCACGGTCAGGAATGCGCCATGGTTCTCGTAGCTGTAAGCAGTTCAGACATGTTCAGACACGCCCAGACCAAGGAGCGCCATTGTCTGCACGTGCTTGATATCTTCGCCATACTTCTGGACCGCCGCTCTCCCAAGTGGCAGGTGCGCCTTAATGGGTCACAGCGCTCATGGGTGGCTTTGCAGATTTGTTGGGCGGCGGGAAAGGGCCTAGCACTCTTCCCGGCCACCGCGAGGAGTACTGCGCCCTGCTGTCAGACCCCTTCGCGCATGTCAGCGGAGCTGACGTACCAGAGGCGCGAAAGATGGAAAGGTCGTCCTGCATCGTTGTCCTCCAGCCATCTTGAGCAGCACCCAGGAAGTGTCGAGTCCAGATATGCCACGCTTCTGCCGAAGTGTGGCGCTCTTGCTGGTGCCTTGCCTCAAAGAGGGACAGGAAACCAAATGGAACACAAACGATGGACTCAGCACATCAAGCACATCAAGCACCTTCAGATCTTCAAGCACCTCTGATCTTTCGAGATTTGTTGTTGGCTGCGCGCGGCCGCCTTCAAGTTTTGAGC